CAATCAGTCCATTAATTGGAATTAGTTGATCAAAATACAGGGCAATTTGACCACGTGGCCATGGAAAAAAATAAAATTACCAATATGCTGAACTTTTAAAATTATTTTCCTAAATAGTATTTAGATTGAGTTTTAAATTTTTTTAAACATAAAAGCATAAAACTCGATCTCTATTAGACCGAGTTCAATACTTGTATTTTTTAAAAAAAAAAAAACTTGATGTGATAGGGCCATGCCTATCATATCGTCTATCACTACCCCACCCTAATAGATTATTGCACTCTATATTTTATAGAGATAAAAAATAGGTGAATCTGGCTCATATATACTCAACCCTTAATAAATCAAGCCCATAAGCTTGGTTGCCACATAATTTATCATTTTTTATCATTTTTTATTTAAAAGGCTTAAAATCGAGCTTACAAGCCCGCTTTCATTTTTTTAATTTTTTAAAATTAAAATTTTTAATTATAATATTTTATATTTTTTAAAAATACAAGTTTAATGTTCACCAAAATAAAACAAAGTCTAAAAGGGCCACTCTAACCTTGTCCTTTTTTAGGGCATATCAAGCCTAGGCTTCAAAATTCAATTTCCCTAAAAACGTAATTTTTCAAGCCCAAAACCTTTAAAAAAATATAATTTAAATGGCAGCTTATCAAGTTTGGCTCTTATTTCTTACTCTAATAGGTTTCTTTTCTTTCATTCTGAAGGGAACTCAGTCCACACAAGAGGAGGGGGGAGGGTTAACCCACAATGAAGGGAGGAAAACCTATTGAAGTCGAAAGCAAGAGCTGAGCTTGATGAACTACCATTTAAACTCATTTTATAAGGTTTTAGGTTTGAAAAATTGCATTTTTTTAGAGAAACTGGGTTTTGAAACCCACGCCTGATAAGCTCTAAAGAATAGGCTATAGGTAGAGCGACTCTTTTATACTCGTTTTATTTTGGTGAACATTATAACTTGTATTTTTAAAAAAATATGAAATATTATAATTAAAAATTTTAATCTTTAAAAATTTAAAAACTAAAAATAATATAAATGAGCTCATGGGCTCAGTTTTGGACCCATTAAATAAAAGCTAAGTTTTAAAAAATGATAAATTATGAGATAGCCGAGCTTATGGCTTACATTCTTAAAGGTTAAGCCCATACGAACCAAACTCACTTATTTCCCATCTCTAAAAATTATGAAGTGTAATTATCTATTAAGATGGGGTGGTGGTAGGCAATAAGCATAGCCTACCATGCCTATCATATCAAGTGTTTTTTTTTTAAAAAAATACAAGTATTGAACTTGGTCTAATACTTTTATGTTTAAAAAATGTTAGAACTCAACCTAATTCAAACCGAGGTTTAAATTTATAGTATTTAGAAAAATAGTTTTAAAAGTGTAGCATATTGATAAATACTCTGTTCATTCAAAAATGTAACGCATTTTTAGTCTTGCGAGATATGATCATCATTTTTTTCAAAAGTGCCCCTATTGATAATAACTTTATATTTATTATAAGATATTTAATAGGAATAAATATAAAAAGATAGAGTTAGATTGAAAGTAGATAACAACTTTATTGGGGGTGAGATTCAGTTAAAAATACCTTACATTTTTGAATGGAGAAAGTATATTTTTTCCATAGTACGTGGGCAAATTACCAAAATACAGCAAACAAAATCTGACAAGGCCAAGACGTTATTTGTTGCGGTACCAGCGGTATAGACATGAATGACGAGCTGCTTAAGTTGTGCCCAAAAGGACACTATCCTTAAAAACTATTTCGACATACTGGGACGACCCTAGGATTAAACAAGAACTTCTTATAGAGCAAGGAATCAAAACAGTAGAACTAAAACTAACTCAGATGAACAACACAGGAGAAGCCAGAGAGAGGAGAGGATTTCCCTGAAAACTCAAGAGGCTAGTGAGTTGCTCTGTCCGCACCCATAGCTATATATAGCCTAAAGATGGAGACATGAATGTTGGCTTATAATTACCAGATTAAGGCTTTGGTTACACACATATAAAACATCATTAATCTGGAGACATTGGTAGAAAAATGCATTTAAGACACTAACTCACAAAATTGGTTTTTAGAAGTGGTTTAATATTCAAAAAAATTGTCAAGGTTTCAAATTCAAATTTATTTTTTGGGTAAGCTAAAAATAATTATTTATTTAATTATTTTGTAAAAATAATCCGATAAAAGGAACCTAGTGCCTCTTGAACTCGTGCGCAGAGGACAAATCGGCTGATTTCAACTGCTATTGCCTTGAGTTGACTTGTCTTATGTACGAGAGCTCACTTTTCCTCGAAGTCCATTTTACTAGCTCACTTTATTCCTTAGTATTTATATATTAGGAGAGTTCTTTATTTAAGTAAAGTGAGACTTTTGACACACACACAACATTATTTCGTATGTGATTAGCATCGTGCTGTTGGATCAAAACATAACACCCTTAGCCAACTTTTCACTTTTTAATTTCCCAATATTAATTTTTCTTCTTGGAGAACCTATTGGGAATTCGGAGGGCAAGGACAAGTTGTTTTCACGAGTTGATCAGCCATATCCCACCACGACTCTTTCTCCAGTAAAGCTATTCCATTCAATCAAATGCTTTTGCTTGGAATATCAAGTCCTTCTTTTTTTCTTTCCTTTTTTTTCATTGCAACATTATTAAATTTGTAATTTTTGCAAGGATAAGCTCCATTTTCCATAATTTGGAGTTTGTCTATGAACTGTTCAATAGTTCACAGGCTCTTTTAATCGACTCATATTTTTTGGTTAATTTCTAGTGTGGGAATCAGTGTAGTAGTGTAGCTCCAAAGCCTGCATTCCATGACATGACATGACTCTGGTATTTGTAACATATTTAAGTCAAGAATTGCAAGACATGATATGTTAACATCCTTAGTCTTTAGAAGGTCCTTCTGCTTAATATCATGAGATGAACATCTCCCGTTTCCCGTAAAAAGAAAAAAGAAAAAGAAAAAGAAAAAAAGAAAAGAGTAAGGATGATATATACAGCATAATAAATCCTCTTAAGGAAAGAATAAGCAAAGCTCTGAACGTTAGGGACTTCTCCATTACATCCAAGTTTCTCCAAAAGGACCACAACAGAAGCATATGGTTGCCCACAATTGCAAGAAAGGCTTTCTAAGGATTAAGACTTTAAGAGATATGGGAATAATTAATGTTGAATCCTCCAGAAGAGTGGTAAATGCTTCTTACATTTCGGTTAATGAAATAAATGTAGCAAGAGAATCATAATTTCATACCTGTTATTCAAGTCGGGCGTGAAAGTACAAGGCCATTGAGAGTAAAGGAGGGGCGGAGCCAAGATTTAAGAATAAAAGGGGCCAATATTAAAAAAAAAATATATGCTATAAAGTTTTCATAAATTTTAGAAGGGCTGAAAGTATGTAATACCTATATAATATAAAAAAAGTTAAAAAACGAGGAGGCCATGGCCTCTGCTGGTTCCCCTCTCTCTGCCACTAGAGCGAAGTCTATCTTATTATCATGAAGTCATGGTTCAGTTACTAGGGATATTGAATGACAGTGAAAGGAATTTGTAGATGCTTTCTTCTTGTCCACAATTTCAATGCTCATAGTAAGAAAGCCTAAACACTGATATATTCATTAGACTTTCTTTATTGGTTTTGAGATGAAATAAATTAGTTAACTTCAAGTAAAAACACAGTTGACTTTACACCTCCTCATGACCTAAAATCAACGTGAGACTGCAAAGATAGAAAACTTTTCCTTTAACATTATCTGGAACATAAATATGAACTTCCCTAGGTCACAGAGTGTATCAAAGTTGTTAACATCTGAAACCAAGAAAGAAGTAAGCCATGCATTAAAATTCACATGAATAAGCACATGAGCAGTGAAAGTTAAGGTTTTGAGAGAAAAGGGTAGGTTACTGTGCTTAAGGGTATTTGATCAAGTCCTTAAATACCTTTTTTATCAGTGAGTAGGCTCAGACTGGTGGATGACATGGACAGGTCCTTCAAAGTTCAGACTCAGTTGCAGTTGGAGCAGGTCTAGTGCAGACATTACTACAGGTCTCCACATCTCACTCTCATGCCTATGCTACTTCTTGGTGTCTACATTCAATGCTCATCACAAATGCTCATTAGGGTCAGGAGCAATCCTGACCCTCTATTTCAACTTTATTTTATCTGCTCCTAACTCTCTATTTCAACTTTATTTTATCCCTATTATTGATTTAAATTAATTTTTTAAATATTTTTAATATCATATTTATTAAAATAAAAATATAAAGTTTTAATATTAAATATGAACTATTTAAATGATTAATTTGTAAAATTTATAAATTTTTGAATATTAAATTATACCTAAACAATACAGAGTTTATCTGTATAGTTAAATTGTAAAATTATAAATTTTTTAATATTAAATTAGACTGTTAGATTAAATCTGAACTAACCAAATTAGCAATAAACAGATATATTAAAATTTTAAATTTTTTATATTTTTTAATTAATAAATATAGTATTAAAAGTAATTTTAAAAATTAATTTAAATGAACGACAGAAATTAAATAAGGTTGAAATGAAAGGCCAAGAGCAGATGAGCAGCGAATGCAATTCACTACTTCTTGGCACGAGAATTTCTCTACTTCCTCTTCTTTTTGCTGTCTACTTTTTTGGTGTTGAAACAATTTTGAATATATAGGAAAAGAAAACAGAGTAGAATGTCTACTGTTCCGATAAAAGAAAATAATGTGCTCACAAGCACTGCAACATCCATATCCCCAAAATCTTATTTGAGGGAGGGAAGAAAGCTTCGTAAGGTGATTAAATAAATTGCTGCAACCTATGAACCAAGAAAATATTCTTTTACAAAAAAGGAAAAAAGAGAAGGCACGACTGAGGAGATACGCCATAATCTGTTGCCAAAGTCACCTTCTAAACACGTTATTCTTTCTTGTATTCATTTCATATAACAAAATGTAAAACTAGAAAGCTCCGCTGATCAAACACCAGTTATTTATTGATAAAATACATCAAGAAACCCCAGCTAACAAAAACAAGGAAGACATTTGATTTTAATACTAACATGGGCAATCACACAAGCACCAGCTGCAGATTACATATTATACAGGCTTAATCTAGACAAAGAAACCCAAATAAAACAATGGGATTAGAGGCCTAAAATAGGTGCACTATATGCTAAATTATACACACAAATATAAGAAAGAGTAGCTTCTTGGAGGAGTTCAGTCTACAATTATCCTTGGGGGAAGAAGGCACACACCAGGAACTTGCTCCTGACATGTAGTTAGTTTCACAGTAGAACGAGCAGAGAGGCTGTACCTTCTCTGTATCTCTTTAAATCCTCCACTAAGAACTTGCTCCACCCAATCCTGGACTTCCATGTCCCCTTCTAAGACATATGCAGCTGCAAGTAACTGTTCCATGACCTCTGACTCTATCTGTAGAGAGCACTCAGATCCAAGAATCTTGTGAAAGCTCCTCCTGATAATTTTTAACACTCTACCTGCAAGTGCGTCAAAATTATACGGTTTCAAGATGATCGTTTCATCAACCTGTTTGTACAAATCTTGCAACCACGGGTTTTGTGTTCCAGTTGAGACACCTTCAGGGTTTCCATCATCCTTGAATTGTAGTTCGTTCTCTTCTGCTGGCATGTTCAAATCTAGAAAGCAATTTGAAATTTTGTGACCCCTTTTAGCCATCTCCGAGGTTTTGTGCTGACCATTAAGGAAATTGTCACTACCCAACTTTCTTTTATTTGCAAGTATTGGATTGGGAATGTCCTCTGTTGAACATTCAACTACAGGGAGGCATGGACTTCTGATGTCTCCCTCAACTTTTATCTTGATTGGTACCCCTTTTGTCCTTGATATTCTTTCCTCAGAATAGCAGAATTCTATCTTCGGTGTGCAATCATCCTGTTGAACTGAGAAAGATGTCACAATTATTGCATTGTTTACACCAACTTCTCTTCCACACGAGTCTATAATCTTACCAGTCTTGATAGCTTGAGATAAACTATTTTGAACCATTACATCAGCCTTGTCTACATTGTCAAGGAAAACCACAGACAACGGATTTTTGCACAACTCCCCAACTAAAAGATCAAGAGTAGTCTTTCCTCGGAATTTCAAATCATGTCCATTTGTTTCCTCAGAATTTAGATCCACAAAAATAAAACTTTCCTGGCTTCCATATAAAATCTCAGCCAGAGAAAGAGCAATTTTCTTCTTACCAATCCTATCAGGTCCTACAAAATTCATCCACATGCCCCCTTGTCTATTTGTTCCAAGGCATTTGCCCCTGCTTGATTCACAGTAAGCTATCGTTTTTACAATGCTTTGTAAGGCTTCATTCTGCCAGGGGACCTTTTTCGCAAGAGCTTCAAAAAGAATTTTAGGATTTCTAGTATCACATTGCCCAGAATGGTCAGAACTTAAGCAGGATGAAGACTGGGCTGGACGCATAAGGATGTCCCTGTTAACTAAATTAAAGTTTGAAGAAAGGGGACTAGGAATTTCCTTTGGACCCCCCACAGTTGGTTTCTTAGATTTGTTGCTTCTAGGAGAGAAGTAAATTCCTATACCTAGATCTGTGGTTACAGAAGCCACAGATGTGGGAGACAATTGGCTACCATCACCCACACTTGAATTGGACATGTCGCAGGATCTTAGGTTACCTGACTCAAGATCTTTTGCTTTCTGGAACATCTCTAAGGCTTTAGAAGTATTTTTATCCTGCTTCGCCTCAGAAACTACAGGGACAGGACTACTTAATTGTGAAGCAGAAATCATATGCTCCTCATTAGGCATGCTTGAATTGAGATCAATGTGCACACTAGGTGATACATCTGAATTTTTGTTGCTTTGATTATCAACATCATCATTTTTACCATCAGAGCATTGAGAACTGACGACAGTATGACAAGGAATTGCTTCAGGGCATTGCTGAGTATTATGTGGATGCTGGCATCTCTTATCCAATTTCTTGATAGGCCCAGATTCATTATTATCCAGAAGAAAACTGTCTTCTTTTGTCTGCACTGAACAGAAGAAAAGTGGTTTTTACACCAAAAAAGAAGCAGAATTGAAATTGTCACACTTTATCCTACAATTTCTCGCATTGCACCTTTCGAACAAAGCCAAATGTTTAACAAAACAGGACTAGGCTTGTCTAGTCAATCGTCATAAAGGACTGTTAACTATTTTCTTAAAACCTTGAAGATACAGATTTCATGCACGTGTTACAGGAGCACTTATTCTTATTGCCCAGCAAGAAGTTTGTCTTTTGACCAGGGAAAAAAAAAAAAAACACTCAAGGAAGTCATCAAAGAGGATCTCTCGATGAATATCATATCTAAAGAGCTAGTCATTACAGAACACAATGATATTGTGTGATCCATATAAACAACCACACTTAGTGAAATAAAACGTCTTTTTTTTTTTTTGGCGGGGGGGGGTGGAGTTTGTCCTAGAATTACACAATGCTTCGTGTTTACTACAACTATGCAAGGAACAAGCTAGTTTTAAGGTGGCAGGGGAAGTAAACAAAAAGAAATGATGATCAAAAAGTCCAAATAAACCCATTCAAGACAACAAATATTGGTCCATTACCCTAGTTAGCTTTTCATTGAACTTTCTAGGGGGCACTTGATATACTGTAACCTCAAATACTATGGTATCTTGCATATTATGGTATGACATGGCACAGTATAAGATACCATGGAATTCATAATACCCATGTTTAGCATGACAATTAGTAGTATCTTACATCTTAGGGATGGAAGGCATGTCTGGGCCTATGTGTTAATCATTGTTATTTACTCCCTGAATTTTCAAATTTCAAGTATTATTTTAAAATATTTGTGTATTATATTGTACACATAACACTTCTCATAAACAAAATTTTTGGTGAGATCCTTATCATAGCAAGACAAGAATATCACATAACACTCATTTTGCTGAAATGCGAGCAGAGTATTATCTCATACCTCCTTGTTACCACATAACAGCAAACCAAAATATCTTCATCCAATTCTGACATCCAAAATATTATGATATGGAAGATCACAGGATCATGATCCAAGATTTCTAATTTCTTCCTCTTCCACTTTTGGGGATTGGAGAATGACTTCAATCAGGGGGGGAAAATGGAAAAGGCTCATATGCAATGAATTTAGGCTCATTATAATTGACACATGGGTGCTACATACCTTATCATTCAACCCTTTCGTTATGCCAAGGTTGGCAATCTGCAACCATTGAGGTAAATTAGATTGGTAAGGATCAACAGCCGAAGTAGACTGTCTCGCATTTGAAGCTGGAAGCACTTCTTGCACACAACTTTCACCACATTGAAGGCAACGGGGAACACAATAATATGAGCCATGTAGTGGATCTTTTAGATCAGAAGGTGATGAAAATAAGCCACCAAATGGTACAAATGAATCCATTAAGCTGTAATAACATTATCAAAAAGGCATTTCAGACAAGATTGGTGCAAAACATTTTAATGCGAGAAAGAAGCAAGAGTTTACAGCACAGGTAACTTCAGCACAAAAAACCCAGGTTATCTTTTCAATAGACACGGATGGCAACCTTGCGTCTAACAGTGAACCTGTTTAATTATCAGAAAACAAAAGACTACTAGTTCTCGTAAGAAGTTAAAACCACTATTCAATGGAACTTCAACATTTATCATTTTGGTCCTAATATTCTAACTTCTGGCAACTTAAAAAATGATCCTCGTTTAGAAGGTATATTAATTGACTAGCAAAAAACATTATTTAAATCAGGATCAATCCATAAAGCACGAAGATTAATCGTCAAGGAACAAAGTTGGTGTATTTTCGACTATTTAGTACTTACATAACTTCGATCACAATCTACAAAAGACAAAACTGAAGGAGTATGCAACACACTCACACATTTTTAAACATTTTATGCACAATGGATCAACTTAACAACTAAAAGACAAATAGCTCAACAGGCATAAATGATCATGTCACAAGCATCGAACCAAATGCTTAAGATGCATAATTATCCAATTTCACAACTGTTCGGAAGCAAAACAAAAGAAACAGGGATGCAAGCAACAATGCTTCGGGGACACAATTTTACGATTTATAGAGGCAATACCTCGAACAAAACCAGATATAAACCTATTGTAATTATATAAGGTCGCTTGCCTGTACTTAGGCCTCTGATACGATTCACCTGGAGGCCGAGTAGACGAGATGGGCAGAAGCTGCAAGTCCCAATCCTTCTCAATAGATGGAAACCTTCCCATAAATTTCAGATAGCTCTCATAGCTCGCCGCAGCTCCCATCAACCAAAACTTGCCATGATTAAGCTGCAACAGCTTCGCCAATCCGGCAACAATATGATTCACTGCTTCGTTTGAGGCATTATCGTCCACCAAAGGCTTCAGGTCCCCAAAATTCACCACCAAACCAGGTTCTACACCCTGCTCTTCCATTTCAGCAATCTCCTCAAGCCTTGAACTGATAGTCTCGTTATCAAAATTCTCAAAGACAAACTTGGAAATATCTTTTCCTATGCATATCACGTGAAGTCCAGATAACACCGCTGGCAAAGCACCGTCTCTTTGTTTATTAACATCTTCAGTGAAACTACGCAGAGCATCATCTGCGCATACACCCAGAAGCAGGGGATTCCTCCCTCTGCTCCTGCAAAGGACATCTCCGATTCTTTTGTAATTCTCAGCGCCGCCGTCGCAGGTTCCAAAAGACCCAGGAAACGGGAAACTGAAGCTCCGGCGACCCGGGTCCGGATGCTCCGTCAAATTGCAGAGGAATATGGGGGGGACTCTGGAGCGCGAGTACCTGAGGAGCTGTGGAAGAGGACGAAGAACAGCAAGTTTAATTTCGGAGCTTCGAAAACCAGCTTCGCCGAATACCCGGCTCACTACTGGGTCGTCGAGAATCGATAATATCAAATGTTGAAGCTCGACCTTCACACACGAAACCGAAGAAGGCTGCTGCGTGATTTGATGATAAATATGGAAATTATCTGGCTGCCTTCTCTGACTCGCCTGAGAACGCTTGATGGCGGCCATGAGCGAGTTGGAGACTGGCGGGTCGTCGGCGAGTTGGGACGACGGGACCCGGTCGAGCGATACGCTCAGGCACAGCTCTAGCGCTTTGAATTGAAGCCGAGGCGAGTAGGCACAGTTCCGGGCACGAGCACAGGCGTCACGTAAGGTAGACGACGGCAACGAAAGCAGGGCGGAGACGGCGTGGAGCGAGGTGGTCTGGGGGTGCCCACGACGGCGCGCGACGTAGACGGCTTCGTCGAGAGCTCGAGATGCGTCAGGCGTCAAGCATTGCTTGGCTACTCCGACCGGCGTAGGCATGACCGGAGTTCAGAAATTAATAGAAAATCTTAGGGGGAGGCAACAATAAAGTGAAAAACCAGAGAAATGCCACTCAGAATTGCTGGTCTGAAGTCAAAACAATATTTTAATGGGATTAAAAAGAAAAGGGCTTTTGCGTTGGGGAGCGAGGGCTCCAAATTTATAAACGAACGAACATAAATTAGGATGAGCATAGAAGAAGTGAGAAATCAGAAATGGGTTGGCTTTGTGAGTGAGTGAGTGAGTGGCGGGACCTATAGAAACATACTGCTACTTCCTGCGCTTTACCATAAAGTTTTTGAAGAAGACACGTTTCTCTTGTTCATATCGCTGTAATCACTCCCCGAAATACCAATGCGATCTCGCTTTTGTAAATCTGGATTGGCTACTATTGTCTTTTTCTAATTACATTCACGTGGAAGCTAAGTAAAATTTTGTCAAAAGTACTGACTATTATGTATTACTACTCAAATCTTATTTATGGAATAGAGAAAAAAAAATTGTTTTAATCTCATTTATAAGATATTTTAATTATTATTATGTTCATTCTTATCATTTTATCCCTATTAACTGTTGAAAAGATTATTAATATCAGGATATTTTTTATTTTAAAATACGTGTATTTAATAAAGATAAAGTTAAAAATTTATTAAATTTTTGATACAAAATTAATAAAATTTAACGTTTTTTTAATTGGTAAAAACATTAAAATTGATGAAATATATTGTACCAATAGCCACTCACTCTACGTGAGTCTCTGCCCACCTGTAATTTGTTTACAATTATTATTTTCTTTCGTTTTTCAATTATTTAAAAAAAATAAAACATCAAATATTCGAATAGATTTGAGATATGAGTCAGGTTTCAATTTGGACGTTTCTGCTGACATAATTTTCTACGTCCTTATGAAGCTTTAACTCGAAATATTACTCAAAAGGTACCAAGTCACTTACCATTTAATGTAACCAAGTCCTTTTTTTAAAACTAAAATATTAGAGTGGGATTCGAGAAAACAGTTGACCGTTAATCTCGTCAAACTCATGATTTGGTGTGTTTCCACTTATAAAGTTGCTCAATTTAAGTCCCCGTTTTTTGTCCCTTTCACTGGTTACATTGCGAGCAATCAATTTCGGCAGCTTTTACGAACAAGGGTTTTTACATGTGCTAACTGTTCACGTCAAATTTTTACAAGAAAATGATAAAAAAAATTTTATAAAATATATAAATAATAATTTGATCTCTTCAAATATTATAATTTTTTAAATTTTTTAAAATTTTTTATTATTAATAAATTTATATAAATTATCAAATTATCTTTATTAAAAGTAAATGATTTAAAAAAAATTTTATATTCACAATAATGTAACAGTAAATAAAAAAAATTAACATGTGAAGTTGTGATTTATCATTATATTGTTATGAATTTAAGAAGAAAAATTATAAATATAAAAAGAAAATTGTGAATCATTTATTTTCAATAAGGACAATTTAATAATTTATATAAATTCATTAATGATAGAAAAGCCCTCAAAAATTTTAAGAGAATTATGACATTTTGAAGGATTAAATTATTATTTATATATTTTAAAGGAATTTTACTGTCATTTTTTTAATTTTCATCAACATTTATTTATTTATGTTTTATTAGAATAATTTTATGAAATGTTAAATATTAACTCTTGAATTTTTAATCTAATCTAAGTACGTAAGATGGGACGAGTGGAAGGAAATGAAAGAAAGGACGAAAAGAGGATTTGAGTCCCAATTACCGCGCGTCATTGAACATTCATATACTTATATTCTCTCCGTGTTTCTTACATTATCATTTTAAAAAATTGTTTTTCCTGGAAACAATAGAAGTTTTTATTTCTACTTTTTATTTTAAAAAAATAAAATAAATTTAATTTTTGTTCAATTATACGGTATACCCGTATTAATTTCAGAAATCTATAAAATAGTATTGATTGTTAAAATAAGGATGCTCAATTTAAAATTTATAGCGATGTGTTGATTATCAGAGCGGCCTTATTTACGACGTTATGGTGTTAAAGTTTTATTTAAACCACTCTTTATCTATATCTGATTTTCAAAGTGCACAATAATATTCATCGCTTGCTTTATTCAAACTGGTACTATCTTGTTGGTCCAAAAAAAAAACTGTTAACATTTTGCTTTGTTAATTAATCATATAAAATTGGGTTAAACTTTTGAACCAGCGCCAGCATGGGGATGAATGGCATTGTTTAAAATATAGGAGTATATATTATTTGCTGGTAGCTACGTAAAACATAGCTTATATGATATTATTGATAAGTAATATACTGAATATTTTTCGATTGTGTTTGATAGATGCTATATTAATTAAAAAAGTACCAACTTAGAAGCAGAACTGAAATTTTATTTAAAAATAAATAAAGGCAGCATTTTTCTTTTGGTGAAAAAAGGGCTGGCATAATTTTAGGCAAGTGTTATTTTGGCACATCAAATCCTGAATATGGAAATGGAGTCAGGATATGTCATATGTAAATGACTGCACCATGGAGATTTGGATTTAAATTTGTTAGTTGAAATCTACTTGTATTTTAATAATCATTGAATTTTATTAATGCTTAAAAATTGTTAAAATATATTTTTTAAAATATTTCAAGACAGCTCTTATGATCAGAATACTTCTCACATATGATGTTTCTTTTAAAAATTTAAAATTTGATTTTTTTTTTACTTTTGAATATCATATAACACATTTTGTGACAAGTATTTAATTAAAGTAAACAATTGTTATTGTGTTATATTAAATATTCATTGTATCCCTAAACATTGATCTAAATCCACGTGCCTATGGCTGGTATGAGCTATACAAACAAACGATAAATAATTTCGCTATCCAAACACATATTATATCTTATCATTATAATTTTTTTATTTTTAATTGTTACACTGCTTTTTTTTTCATTAAATTTTATAAAGACAAAAGACGAACTCCTTCCAAGAAAGTTTGTTTTATATACGCTAAGGATTGATATTTAAGTTTATAACTACTTCTTTGAAAAATAAAAATTAATAAAACTCACGCTATCTAACATGTGAACAAAAATTAAAAAGTATAAAAAAAAATTGCACAATCTTAATCCCATCTAAACAATTGACACCATATATATCATTTATATATTTATACCCATGACTAAAGGTCAAAGATGCATAAGGGATTTAGAGTGCGGGCCCACATGATATTTTTCTTTTTCTTTTTCTTTTTTTTTTAATATCTTCAAAGGCTCATTAATGACCATTTGCGCTTAGTGGGATTAACAATTCTTAGTGGAAGCGCATCAATGAACAGAAATTCCCTTGAGTGCTGTTTCGTGAGATAGAGTAGAAGAATATAAATGATAAATGATGTAATCATACAATAAAAATTAGATCAGCTCACTGAATAAATCAGAATGCTGAAAATATAATCAACTTCAATAATAATAAAAATAATAATTTTACATATAACAAATTGCAAGTCATGAATAACGTGACAGCAAGGTGATTGTAAGAATAAATTTGCCTTGAAAATTACAAAATCATTTCTTCATCTTCTTCTTTTGAAATCAGGCGTAATTCGGCAAGGTCCGGCACTATCCCAACGGCTTTTCAGACAAACACTATAACGGTACAACTAATATAAATTATTACTATGTAAAAGATAAAAAAATAATAAAAAATAAAACACTTAAGAGATACTTATAAATTATTGACTTCGTTTTTTTTAATTAAAATTTCTAAAGATTCAAATTATCACCGGTTCTTTCAAAATAATACACACAAGCTAAGTTTGAAAACATCTATACATACATACACAGACACACACACACACATAAAGATACACACAAGCTAAAAACGTTGGAAGAATCGGCATAAAAATCTGCTTAATTGAAAATGATTCGAATTGATGTTCTTAAGATTTCCTGTTCAGCTTTCCCCGGGGGGATTTCCAGTTCAACTTTTAGGATTTTCAAGTGAAGTTCCCAACTTCATATATAAATATAGGTGTGGTTATCAATTATTTTTCCTAATTGATTTAAAATAAAGAAATCCAAAAATGTCATGAATGTTATTTTAGTTTGATTGTGAAGTGTCGCCTTCCCAAGTAGAAATGTAATAAAAGTGGGTGACAGCCACGACCACGCATATATTTGAGTCGCTATAGAGTGTGCAAGAAATCATTAATTTTACCAATGGGTGCTTCACCACAATGGTTGGGGCTTGATCGGCATTTTTTGAGATCGTGCGTTTGATTGTTGGCGAATGGAGCAGCAATAAAAAAGTTTCCAAAGGGCTTCCCATAAGTACCTGTACAGCCACAAGGTCCAAATTATTTTAGAGGTGGAGTGGGCAAAGAACTCAGATTTCCTCTCAGTACTGGATGATACAGTTTAATTTCAACATATATTTAAAAAAAAGAAACCATTAATTTTGATTTGATTTGGAGATGTACGTGCAGATAGTACAGATAGAGTTTAACTAAATTGATGAGAGAAATGTAAATTTAAATCATAAATTTATAAAAGCCTGTCTCTATTAATAAAATAGCATTTAAAAGTATATAATTAAATAATTAAAATATAATATAATTTAGTTTAAATAAATTTAAGATATAAATCATTGAAATTAAATTTATCACATTCACATATTACTATATTCAATATAGAAATTTTAAAATAAGGAAACTCATTTTTTTGTCTTCTTATTTATTAATATTAGTTTTTTTTAGTTTTATTTTTCATTAAACTAGATCCTACCACTTTTATGAATCAAGTTATACACAATATATACATATCTTACTCGATAAATTTATGAATAAATTGATGCGATTTTATAACTTAAAGATATAAAAATAATATAATCAAAGAATTAACTCAAAAGTATAACTGAATTTCATTTAATAACTAGTATGTGGCCTTTGAGATGTATAGAATATGAACAAATAAAAAAATTAAGTAAATAATAATACTTAATAAATATTCATAATATAAGATGTTCTTCGGTGAAATCAGCGCCAACTATTGACATTTACAAAGCATAAATTAATTCCGAACTAAAACTGATAAATAATACAATAATATTTTTTATTGACTTTTTTAAAAAATAATTTTTGATGCACGTATGATATTTGTAGGTATATTTTTTGTAATTGTAATTATGATATAATTAAGATTAATTAAATTTAAAGCAATCCTTAAAATAAATTTGAAAATGATAGGCCGATAATTAATCCTGTGTTAATTTAGAAAAATTGAAA